AATATCAATTAATAACAAATAGTGTTTTAAAATAAATGTTAAAAAACCAATAAAAATAATATAGGTTAATTTAAAGGAAAGTAATTGGTGAGTGTGAGAGGATCTTTAATAAAGGTTTTGTGTCGGGAAAAGGACTGCCCTGTAGCCACTAACATTATTATTAGTTCTACTTTATTAGGTTGAGTGATTATTCGGCCATGAGCCTACCCTCCCAGGCCCTGATCCCCAAACCAAACTTACTTTGGGCTCCACTCAATTTCAGCGGTCCACTAGTGCTGGGCCTGACCTCAATGACATGATGGACAAAAGCCTTAAGCCCAAAGACCTTAATTTTCCGTTTCGTACTCCGAAAAAATAGAACTGATGATCAGATTTAGTGGTATTGTTGTACTTACTATTCAATTCGGTACTGTCATCTGTGTCATCAACTATTATTCAATTCGGTACTGTCATCAGTGTCATCAACTATTATTCAATTTTAAATATAATTTAATTATTAAAAATAATTAATATTTAAATTTATTTAAAAAATTAATATTTATTATTTAATAAATTAAAATTAATTTATAAATAAATATTTCTAAATATAATACTAATAATTTAAGAAAAAATTATGAACAAATAAAATTATAGACAAGTTACTAGTCTTAACAATTTGAATGATGGTAAATTGGTAATAATCCAACTTTGGCGTTAAACCTATACTTCCCTCTTTTTTTACACTTTTTTTTTAATAAAAAATTAAAAAAAAAAACTTAAAAAATCAAATTCTCATCTAAAAACAAAAAGATACAATGAAGGCAGTTGTAATTAAGTCATACTAAAAAATAAGATATATACAATACGATACACTATATATATAAATGAATCTCAATCAACATGCACCATTGAAATTTAAATTTTAAATAGAAAACGGTCTCCTTTAAAGAATAGTGACTTCTCTTTCATTTCAAAAAACCTAAAGTTGTACAAGAAATGCGACACAAAAGTCTGAAAACACAAATTTGGCCCTTGAACCTTTTGTAGATCTAGCAAGTACTCCTCCTCTCGAGTTCTATAAAACTGTTAACAACAATGCAACCAAAACATGTTAGTATTCAATTGGTAATTTCACAAGTTTTGTTATAAATTTATCTGTTGGATGGAAGGTTTCTGAAAACAACTATCAAACAACAATCCAATCATCCATTACTGCCATTTAAATGACTTGCAAGACCAATAATCACAAGGGACTTTCTCATATAGGCACTACCTGCAGCTTAAACTTGACGAAATTTGGTGATTGAATAATCACATCATTCTCAATAATGCTTGAAACAATACATAGGCAAATAATGAAATTGTAAACAAGAAAAAACAAATTTCATGTAGCAGAAGTTAGATCTAAGCCAACTTATATTAAGATTACGAAACTCTCAAACTAAACTCAAAAAGAGGAGCTATCAACACAATCAAAGATCATGCATTGAGTGACATCAAAACTTGGTCGATTTGAATGGCGAAAAAGCGTGAAATCAAGCATTGAATAGATGGATTTAGAAAGGAACCCGCGTACTTGGTAGAAGATCCCAACGTTAGGATTGGGAATTTGGGGGAATTGGGATCAAGTGCCTAGGAGAGTTAGCTAGAGATTGGGTTTCACATGGGAGTAAAGGATGTTGAGAATTAGTTTGGGCCTTTTTGGGCATTTATACTTTTTCATTTCGAGGATTTGCAAAATGAATTTGTTCTCAGTTCCCAAAAACGTTTCGGAAAATTCAATCAAATGGTGTTTCGCTACCCAATGGAAAAAATGAAATGAGATTTCTTCTTCTCTTTTTTTTTTAATCAAGCCACAAAATCGGATTTAGAATCTTTTAAAAAAATTATTATTGAATTAATTAAATTATTATTAAATTTTTTTATTTGTAATAAAAATAAAATGATTTAG